AGGGTATACTTAGTTTTTCACACATGGCTTCTCCTTTTTTGGCTTTCTTTTTGTAAAATAAATGATGACATGGTGTAATGTGTCATGTGTTGTTGTTCATCTGAGGTTATATTTGGTAACTGCTAAGGATCAGATGATTTTTATTATGTCCTGATACGTAAAACCATAGAACTCAAAAAGGGTACACTTTCTTTTTCACATGACTGTATATTGGTAGAAACTGTGCAGTGTTATATGACATATACCTTAACCCATTGAAAGGATTGTGCCTCTCTGAGCAAAATGTATAGCAATGTCAGCTCCAGTGTGGGTGGGTGAGTGTGTTTGAGAGGCACTGAGGAAGGCATTCTGCTACAATTCCTTCTCTTCTTCATTGTTATCACCAGTCCCCAACCTCAGAAGGAGAATCCAATCTGTACTACAGTCCCTGAAGCATTGTCGCAAGAACAATAGGATTACAGTTTAAGGGTATTAACCAGTCCTGGGTATTTGCCAAATGAAATTTCTGCTATATTTCTTTCTCAACGAAGCTCACAACTTCTTAATTTAATTTCAGAGAAACTTGAAATCCTGCCACGTTGTTGGTCATCTCTAACATGGATCAAGAAATGCCATACAGGTAGTCCTAGACTTATGACCACAATTGGGACCAGAATTTCCATTGCTAAGCAATGCGGTCGTAAAGCGAGATGTCACGTGACTGCATTGCTTATGATCACATTCCCAGCAATTCCCCTTATTGTTGTTAAGCGAATACTTAACACCGGTTGTTAGCCGGGGACCCACCCCAATCCAAGCCATTCTGGGCTTGGTCCCTCCCAAGGCGGCAGGGGTCTCAGAGAGGAGGGTGGCGAGGGCAACTGCAGCTGGGACTGAGCTGCAGTGGCTGCAGCTTCCCGGGGCATGGCAAGCAAGGCAGGGTGCAGGGCGGCCAGACGGGCAGAGATGGGGGGAGATAGACGGGTGGGGCTGTTGAAGCACCCTTGCAGTCGTAAGTGTGGGCGGGCTGCCAAGCACCCAAATTTTGATCACATGACCATAGGGGCGCTGCAACAGCCATAACTTTAAGGACTGATTGTAAGTCACTTTTTTCAGTGCCATCGTAATTTTTTTTTCCCCAGCTGCTGATTTCTGTGCAAAGAAGAAAGGAAAAGCCCTGCAGATGGCACTGTCTGGTCCTTTTTTCCCTGCCTGATCTGTCCTCAAACCATGTTGTTCCAAGCAGTGGAGAATGCAGAAAGAGACTAGATAATCATGTCTTTCACATGTCTGCATTAATCCTGACAAAATAGTTATTTTTAAATTGAGGGCAGTTTACTGATCCCAAAGTAAACAGAGCTAATTTTGCCTATTAAAAGAGTAGGTGAATTACAATATATATGAAGGCAATGTCACACACATACACAAAAGACAATGATTAAATATTCAAGTCATGAGGTTTGCATAGCCAGAGTTTTAAGATGGAAAGTGGGAGTGAACTTCACATATTCAGATTAGGCTCTACCTGGTGCTGTGCTTCTATTAGATTGTATCCAGGATTGCTCCTGACATTGCTGAGAAAAAAATATATATAAATGGTTAATCCTCTTTTTTTTTTCAAATTAAAAAAATGTTTTGAGATTTTGGAAGGGAAAGGTGTATGAAAATTCATGATGTTTTTAACTTTAGAAGTTAAACCTTTAGAAGTTTGCCAAAGAGGGCTTGCTCCTTCACAAACTGACTTCTTGGTTGTGGCCATGAATAAAATATACACTAAAAGACAATTTGGTAAGAATATTTCCTGCCATTCTCAGTACTTTTCCAAGGTAAGTTTTCTATCACTCTAGTCTACCTTTGCCTTTGTGGGGATGGGGGTGGGGACCCCTCCAAAAGAAACACTAGACTGCAATCAAATATTTTACTTTAATTTCTAACCATGCTTGAATGGCTTTTATAGCCCAGATATTTTCTTAGATATTAAGATCATATTAGAGGGTAGAGCTTTTCTTTGCAACATGTTGGCTTCCCATTTAATTTCTTTTTAAATTAGAAGATGTTTTCAAAAAGAAGTCAAGTGGGGCAGAAACTGTTAGGCATCAATGGAAAGGTGCTTGAGCCTACAAGTGCTTGTCTGCAGTTTGTTGTAGACCCTAGGTAATATCCCTAAAATCATTACTTTCTCACAGTGAATTTCATATTCAAGTCTGCCTTTAATCATTGCCATTATTTATTAAAGTTTATTGCCAGTTTATTTCTCTCTGCATTATAAAAAGATTTTATGTCATTCTGGCAAATACTAGGACCACCAGCTTTCTGAGAGAATCTCAAACCTCTCAGATACATGCTGACAGGTTTGGTTGTTAATTATAAAGCTTTTAGAATAATTCTGAAAGACCATTCTCCTATATGGGCCTATTAGACCATTAAGATTATTAAGGGAGAAATTTAAAAAATCAACGCACGATAGTGAACCACAGGCTTTTTCCATCTTTCTCTTTACCATGCATGAATCTCTAGTGCTCTGTTTCCAGTATTTGTTAAAAATGTATCTCTTTCCCCAGATTTTTTTCCCTGCATAAAGGGTGGATGTCTTTTTAATTGGTATTGTTTAATTTAAAAGCTTTATTATTACTTTGTTCTATTTTATTTTATACAGTATTGTTATTTTGTAGGAATTATTTTAGTGATGAGTAGTTTAAGAAATAGCAAATTAGCACAAATAGTGAAGTACTTTAATAAGAAAGTAATATCCTCCCTATAACCAGTCCAAGTTGGCTGCAGTGATCTAGACTAGTGTTTCTCAGCCTCAGCAACTTGAAGAGATTTGGACTTCAACTCCCAGAATTCCCCAACCAGCACCTCTTAAAGTTGCTGAAGTTGAGAAACATTGATCTAGATTGCTGTGGTTTTAGAATACCTCAGAGAGAGTTCTACATAATAAATTAAATCCATATATTCATTTATATAAGGACATATATACATAGACACATACAGTTTGATGGCTAAGGGGAGACATGGATTAAATACTCAAGTCATGAAGTTTGCATGATCATCTCCAAGAATGGGAATAATCTGTATGCTAGTTGTAACTGTGCAAAAGCACTTCTGGCTATCTGTGTTATCTGAGCATCTATATTTAGAACTAAGACCAGGAGCTTACTCAAACTGTAAATAAAAATAATCTATTACTATTACTATTACATAGACAGCAAACTTGTCTATGTAGCTATTTATCATGAATAGCATTCTTTGATTTTTCGGTCATCTCTGCTGTTAGTGTGCAAACAGGCCCAAAATCTCATTTGAAAACACAACCATGATCTTATTACTGCTGTATTGTTTTCATTAAACAGAATAATATTAAGGAAGGTGGACAACTGAGTTTTCCCACAGTGACCTAATTTGCCTTTCCTTTTAATTGTCCTTCTGCATTCTATTTCTGATTGTACTCAGCAAGTGCTATCTTTGTGCTCCCATCACTTCTTTATGCCGTTGTTCAAGTTTAGGAGCATAGCCGATATTTCAGCTCATCAGTTTCAGCAATAAACAAAGCGACAGCACCAAGGAGGCAGATGTAATTTGTAGACTGAGAAGAGATGTAATAATAAAGTTTGTTTATTACAGCAATTATCATACTGGTCTCCTAAGCATGCTTTCCCAGTTAGAGCAAGAAAGTGTTCATTTCAAGAGCATAGATTTTTAGAACATACAGAGGAAAATACTGAAGTCAAGCAAATTAGCTGGTTCCAAAGCAAGCACCAGGCAGATAAAGGAATTAATCAGCGAGGAGACCAATCAATAGGCAAGCATTTCAGTGAAAGATGCAAACATGATAAGCATCTATAATTTATAATGCAACCTTGTAAGACACCTTGTTACAGCAAAAATCCTTGGGCTCCATGTCCTTACAACTTTATAACCCCAAAATATCCACCAGCTGGCTGTAAGAGTTTTACTAATCTGATTGTAAGATGGCCTGCTGCACCCATGTTAGGAAATGCTAGGATGTATAGAATGTATTCAGCAAGAGAATATCAATATAACAATAATTGGAGTTTCTTGGATTTATCTCAGCTAAGTTTTCTGTCACGTGCAGTGATTTATTTGGCAAAGTAATTTTAATACCCACCAAAACAGAGATGGATCTCACTTTGTACATGCATAGTCTTAGGAAGCTCACACATAATTGTATTGTCGAAGGCTTTCACGGCCTGTCTGTGCTCCTGCACTCTGAAGATGCCGGTCACGGGTGCTGGCGAAACGTTAGGAAACAAAACTTCAAGAACACGGCCACACAGCCCGGAAGACCCACACCAGCCATCACACATAATTCATGAAGTATAGTGTGTTTAGCACATTTTTTCCAGTTTCTATAAAACTCCAGTGATTTTAAGGGCATATTGCACTTTGGACCTTTGTGGAACTCTTCAAATACTATATATTATGCAATGCAGAACTAGTTAATTTGTGGAAGTGTCATTGGAGTCACCCAAACCTTTTGACAAATCTTGGAAGTGGGCGTTGCATAAATAGAAGTAGCATTTATGAAGAGATTCAAACTTCTGGATCCTCAGTGGAGTGAATTCAAATAATCAAGTGTTCCAGACATGCAGTCCCCACATTATAGGATTGTAATAACTATCACTTATATTATCACTTTTTACAATGACTTTACCCTGAGGCTCTATTGTATAGGTTTCTAATAAACATTTGTTACATCTATTGCAAAATGTATCAAAATCTACAATTATAAGAATCTTGAAAAATGTTTGGGAAAGAATCCTGCATTACAGTTATATTTCTCTCTGTTTATGAAATGCACTTGATTATTACCCATATACATTTGTGAATGTATCTTACTTTATAAAAGGAGAGAAAATCAGAATTCCATAAAATATACATGCAATTGTTAGCTGGTTTTCTTTATTGTTACAGTTGTATTCACAATGGCATTCATTTATCATAACACTTTATCCTTTTTTGTAAAGCTGCTTTTTGAAGAAAGTATAAATATTGTATATTAAGAAAACATGGCCACCACTATTACACTTGAAAACATATTCCAAAACTACAAATGGTCTATACTAAAAATTCTCATACTATTATTTCTCTGAAAGGATATTTAATAGCACATGAATAATCTATATAGGATGTTCTATCATCCATTCATACATAATCTTGTCTTCTTAGAAATATAATATACAATTTATATGCATGGTTTAAAACTAAATTGACCTGATAATCCATTGTAGAAAAAGTGATTTACTGATATCATGCAAATATGTAAAAAAAATTGCTGGTTTCTATGGCTAATGAGACTAGAAGATTCCTGAGGAACTTTCCCATTTCTAAATCCATGATGGAATCTAGAAAATGAAAAGGAAGAAGAAAAAAAATGGAACTTTTATCAGGGGCGTATTGGTATCTCCCAGCCTTCTGATTCAAGTGAGACTGTTGGATTGTTTTTTATTGAAAAGAGCTAGAAATTCAGATTAGATTGAGCAAGATGGGATGTCAGGAATGTTCTGAATAATGAATGTATTTGCCAACTGTTTTCATGTGCCATTGCATCTGAGATTTTTCTTATGAAACCAAATCTGGAGTTTAGGAGATATTTAAAACATCTGCCATGAGCAAAACTGCAATAAAACGCTTTTTTGTTTTCAATACAGGTTCAGGATTTGTAAGATCTTGACATCTATCGGATGAGGCTGTGTCAAAACTCCTTATTCCCTGATGTAGAAATGTGCCCTGGCATAAGCCAATTGCTCATTTCTTGATGTTACTATAGTTTGGTCCCAGTGGTTCCAAAACGTGTAAAAAAAAAAAAAAGCTTAGCAGGACTGAGTAGGTGAAAATAAAAGGCAGTTACTATTGATTGATCGAGGCAGCTGATATATTAATACAGAGCTTTTAGCCAATCCATATTGATTATGACAGAAAACAAAGGTTCCTAAACAGATTTTTCCAGCTGAATTGCTAGCAAAAATACCAAAGTCTGTGTCAAATTGCTCTGATCTGCCTTCCTTCTTTTCTCTTCCTCATGCCCTGCATGTGTTTATTTTGCCCTGTTTTTGCCATCTATCTACAGTATCTCTATAGAGATAGATACTCTTCATTATCTTTCCTAATATCTAGGATATTGTTTTACATCAAGGAAATACCCACTGTGAAATGTTCCAAGTATTCTAACACATATTGGGTAGGTCAATTTGTAAATGTAGTCAATTAATCCGAAAGCCCCCTGAAAATGTTCACATATGGCATGTTTGTATCTCGTCTACAACAGAGTGAATAGCAACACATATGTGCTGCAAAGACACAACTTTAAATGGGGCAATAATTGTCATCCTGAAAAGTTATTCTTAAGTTATAATAGCAGAGAATATGGGCCATTATAATTAGCCCCTGATCTCACAAATGCTGGGAGGCACACTTTTGTGAAAGTCGTTGATGAAAACTAGACACAAAATATGTGTTTAACTTGTTTGTGAAAAGGAATGGGCTTGAAGTTGTGTTTAGTAACATTTACCTTTTGTATATTATCTTCAACCCCAAATACATAGAATATCACTGTTATCTTCAAAGCTGTCAATATCCTTGTTCCCACAAGAAGGATGTGCTTACCGAGCAGATTCTCAGCAGGGAGGCAGGAGAGAGAAAGGACTTCCTTTCATGTGGTTGGTCAAAGAAACATTTCAACGGGTGTCTCATTTCTTTCCCAGAGAACAACTGCTTTGTCATGCATGCTCCATGCGTGTGTATGTGTGTGTGTGTGTGTGTGTGTGTGCAGACACACACATGCAGATATCTCAAAGCCTCTGGTTTGACTCAGGCCCACTTCTATGTTATATTTATTTATTTCTGGGGACATACCATATCTTGAAATCA